AATTTATTGTATATTTTTTATCTTTTCGTCTGAAATATCTTTTTATCGATTATATTATATTTCATATGTTTTCGCATAATGCAATTTACATAAATATATCTAGCACATATTTTACAGCGTGAAATAAAAATTTAACGAAGTATAAAGATCTGTTTTCTATGACTGAATTAATATACACTTTTGGAACGTGAGATAGCTATATGTTTGATATTTGGCGAAAGCGAAAAAAAAAAAAGAGTTCTAGTGTAGTTTAGTGCAGGAATAAAAAACAGACCTATAATAAAATGTTATATGTACCTGAATCGCACGTTTTTTTTGCGGCATGTCTTAACGGTGCCTTCGCATCTATTTCTGCAGGATCGGTAGATTCATGTCGCCTAGGCGTCCTAGACAAAGGCTCCAATTGAATATTCTCGCTGCTATCTTTTCCTGGACTTCCTTTCGGCATTTTATTTTCACTTTTCTATTTTCACTTCTACTCCGGCCGATCTTTTATTCGGCAAAATCGGAGTTTCGCGTGGAAGAAACTTTTTTCTTTGTTTCTGAAGCGCTTTGTTTGTCAAGTGACATACTTCGAGTTTGTTGCTGATTGACGTTTTGCTAATAATCGCTACTTCATATCGCTACTTTATACTCGAAAAATAAATGTCGGAGCCATAGACCTTCTGCCATCTTCAGACATTCTCACGACATCTCACGATGGTATCGATCGCCCTTTTCCTATACTGGATGTAATGTTCATGTCGAAATTTGTATTTGGGTAGTCTCTTTTGGTAGTCTCAGTTAAGTTTCTACGTCAGCGTAATACATCCGTACATGTACAAATATTTTATGCGATAGCATTCGCATTGGTCCCGATATTATGATATATTGCGCGTAAACATTCAGTTTTATTTGATCGCAGTAAAAGGTTTTGTATAAAAATGGTCGACAAATATAATCTGTGATCAAACTGTTTTCTTCGAGGTAGTGCACATTAATTAATAAAAAATTAATAGCATTTTACTACTTTCTTCGTACATGTCTTCATACATCTCATGTTGACTCAAAGTAGAAAGATATAGGTACTCTGACGAGTTCGAAGATTTTATCTTTTTTCTAGAAATCGAACATATGTGTCTTTGTATAATGCGAGGCTGAATAATTACAAGTTAAAGAAGCTTATGATGGGATGTACTTTTATAAATTATAGACAGCAGTTAATCAGTCTTCTATTTTGTATTATCCATGTCGTTGATTAACTTTAAATATGACGATATGTTTTTCTTTACCAAAAATTACTGGACGTCCAATCAATTTACATCTGCAATATAATTAAGAATTATCTATTATAATTTTTTTATTCAAGTGTAATAAGGTTGTGGTTTAAAAGAGATATTAATAGAGGTAGTAAGAGTTATTCTCGTCAAGCTTTACTGTTGGATCAATACTTTCAGAATGAATATCTATTCATAATAAAAGAGCCAGAAATAATAGGAAAAATATTTACAATAAAATATTTTATAAAATGCTCTCCCTTCTTTATAACCTTAAATTTTGTTTATGTAACGTTATTAAATAACATGTTTTTGTATGTACCCCGCTATAATTTTTAATTTTTTATTATGTTAGAACGATTTGTTCATTTATTGACTATGTTTTTCCTTGCATAAATATCGGAACATAATATCGCTTCCATAATTCGCAGCATTATAAATGATATTTATATTAAATATTTACATGTTCAGCATTTAATCGCGTAATAAGTAAAAACATAGAACGCAATTATAGCTCTTGTTTGCGCGGTATGTATGCAAATGAACAATGAGATTATGAGAACGAATATTCGAAATTGTCAGCTGTTATCATAGATGGAGACGTACGGCATTACATCACTGTTCAAGGTCTATACAAAAGCATAATAGCAATTACACTCCGATTTACATCGATCATGAACGATATTTGCGCACGTAATGATAATAGCTTTCATCCGACTTGTGCGCGCGATCTTTTGATAAGAAATTTTTGTGTCTAAAATAATGCATTGTATAATATTATGTAGCATTCTTTATTGTAAAAAGTTAATTATCACAGGAAAATATACATTTAGCGAAACATTACTTTTCCTTGATGATGTTTTTCTATTTCTCTCTCACACACACACCCCTATAAATTTTTTAATTTAAAACTGAAAATTTAAATTAATTACTGCAACATTAGATTAAATAAAATTAAGCATTTTTATGCTTTTTTTACTATTATACAATATTTTTAAAAATAAGGAAATTAATTAATATTTTTAATTAACAGAATATTTGAAAATATGTAGTATTTTAATATATTGCCTATAATACTTAAATGTGTACATAAATTTTTACTTGTATATATGTCTTATAGATATAATGATCCTATAAATATCTTCACAAAATATCTCTTTAATCTATTGTATATTAATTTGCAATATTTTGCACTCTTTGCATTAACTTTTGTAATTATATCTACGTTACATTTAATAAACGTTTCATTAAAATATTTTATTTTTATTGTAAATTTGCAAGAAATGAAAAAATTGGAAAAAATGGAAATCTATTTTATTAAATTTAATAAGAAAATAAGAAAATTGAAATAAATTAATGCCAAAAATTTTGGAATATTTATTTCAATTTTCATATACACAGCATCCAGTATAAAATTGAAATTTTTATTTCAATTTTATTGGATGCTGCATGTACAAATATACAATCATGCACGTGTACATGCATTTAAGACATGTATATATAAAAAGCATCTCGTGATAGAACATTGACCCTACTCGATCATTTAACAAGAGATATGGTTGAATGAAAATGCTAATGAGTGAAATACTAATATAAATATGAATAAGGGAGAAATATAAGCAATTCGAAGTTTATGATAACGTTTTACTTATTGAATTATTTCTCCATATAATTATTGAGTTTACGTAACATTATTACCTTTTTTTATATTTATCGCATGCAATTGTGATAAATTGTGTTATTAGATTAGATATAAACTACAGAAAATGGAGGTACTCACATTTCTCTGATCGCACTCAACGTTCGGTAATATATCCGATATTCGTTTCTTAAAAGAATAACCCTCGTCGTCGATCGTTAATCACAGACAGTCGTTAATCGCGCATCCTTTATCAATAAACGTAGTTCTCATTCACTCGTGGTCCAGCTGTTCTCTCCTTTCTCGATAGTGTCTGCACATTTTTAGCACCTCCGTTTGTAGTATGCACATGGATAATATGTTAAGCTTACAATCGCCGCATCGTCAAAACTGAAGTTTCACCCCGACGCGACAGCTCGGTAAGCCGGCACCGCTCATGGTCACCCCCGAAGGGTTGCGTCGCGGCGTTCCGTGCGCGATTTGTCCCTCGTTGCATCAACGATATACCTGCATCCAATGCTCATTGCCGTGGCCGCCGACGACAATCCGCAGGTCGTGCAAAGCGGGCCGGGGTTTTCCTCGGCAAAAGACTGACGATGCAAGCAGCCGCACGGTAAGAATGGCACTGAGCAGAAGCGCTTTGAGGATTGAGAGCGTGGCTGAATTTCCGGAGGGAGGCGCGCCGGTCAGGATCAGCTACAGGTTGCGCCCGTCTCGTTCACGCAGGCCAGGCATCTTGGTTGATCGTCGAACAGCAAGGATAGTAGTGGTGGCGGCGTATGCACCCGAACGGGGGAGAAAGTTGGCGAGAAAGAGGGAGAGAAACGAGAGAAATCGATTTACTTAACATCTAGGATTCTTTGGCCCTTTCACAATTGTTAGCCAGGATTTGGCTCGCTGACGATTGTGTGATATGTTATATTAATCACTATCGCGATCGAACTTGCAAGTTGATTTCAACTGATGTGCAGTATAAACGAGCGATATCAATGTGGATTTTGCACACGATTGCATTTAAATTAAAAATTTAAATTAATTTGAGACTAGCTTTCATAAAAATATTGGCAGCGTTAAGAATCTAATTAAATTGTTCACACTATTACAAATCAATTGCTATTAGAATCAAATTGCATGTTAAAAAGACAAGATAAAGGACTACGAGCCAAGCACTACTTGGCTCATAGTCCTTTATCTTGTTTTATTAATTTTTAAATTAATTGATCTTTTTATTTATTAATTAAATTGCATGTCTTTGACAATCCCTAAGGAGAGAGATTTTTAAAAGTGTATAATATTCCAATATGTGCAATTTTCATGCAGCTTTTGGCTGTCATTCTAGTCTAGGTTTTTATTTAGATTCACGAAATTCTTTTCGTAGAATAATTTTTACAATAATTTTGTCGCACACTATTTATTGACTATCTTAAGTATTAAGTACCTTTCAAGTAGAAGTGCTCTTTTTAATAAAACACAGATACTTAATATCTTCCTTTTTATCTGTTTTCTTTGAGTTAGTAACTACATAGTACACAGCTGGTAACGTCGTATACATTTTAAGGCTCTCACAAGATGAAGGACAGCTGATATCAAAATATTTATCTCTTGCTGATATATGAAACTTTTACGATTTCTTCTGAGAGATGATACAATTTTTCTTTTATACAAAAAAAGGGGTAGCGTTGGTTACATAATACACTATTATTAGACGCCCTATAAAGTAAACAACCTTTTGCGCAATCTCTATAAAGTGGAATACGATTTGTGAACAATTTTAAAAATATAACTTAATTTTCTTTCTTTCTCTGTCTCTTTCGATAGATTTTCTTATTCTTTTTGATTATTATAATTACATATACATGCATATAATTATTTATATATGTATGTATTAATAATTTATAAACTAATTTATGAACTGTTTTAAAATTTAATAATAGATATTTGAAATAATTTAATTTTAAACTAGAAGAAATCAATAAGATAATAAAATATCCATTATATCAAATATGTTTTTCTGATTCTAACTTCAAACTTCTCACGCAAGTATAAGTAGGTATGAGATAAGATATCTTCGATAAAGATACAGCTGTATAACAGTCTGGCAAAAATTTATTGGCACGACGACATCATAAAGCTCGCGTTGTCTTTTACGAAAGTATCTGGTAGTAATACCTTAAGACAAGATGCAGGTAAATGCTGATGACGTAGCCTAAGATCATGCCTTTTTCTCGTAGTATTCGTAAGTAGTGTTATTACAACAGTCGCACACTTTTTACAGATGTCGTTTCATGGCGGCGTCGCGGAAACTATTCTGTTCGAAAAATGGCGCATAAATAACGCGCAAGGAATGGTTGGTTCCGTAATCGGCGTCATTCTTCTAACTGCATTGTATGAAGGGCTAAAATCTTATCGGTGAGTAAATATTTATTAAAACGCGAAGAAAATGCGGGCCGTCAGTCATGTAATCGTACATTTCAGTGAGTATCTCTTCGCGCGCACGACGTTTCTCAGGAAGAATCAGCAGAAGAAATCGAGAAAGTATGTGTGAACTTATGATTTCCGTAAAGTGCTCACAATATTTTATTACTCTGTTTATTATTACAGTGCATTGTTGTTTTCCGGAGTGCATTTCTTTCAAACGCTTCTGCATGTAATCCAAATAGTGTTTGGCTATTTCCTTATGTTTATTTTTATGACGTACAACTATTGGCTTTGCATCGCTATCGGAACTGGAACAGCTCTTGGATATTGGTTGTTTCAATGGGAAAAATCTAATAATGACAATACAGATTGTTGTTCATAAATATATTTTTGAAATATTAAAGTTGATAATTTTTTAATCGTACGTAAGATGCTTTAATAACTAATTATTCTACTAAATAACTATTAAATAACTATTTATTTTATTGAAATAATCAGTTAATAACATATATAATATTCTACTATATTTGTGCATAGGTGTACTAAGAAAAAAAATTTACTAAATATTTCTTTGAATAGTCCTAACGGAATATTTATTAAATGTAAACACGTATTTATATCAGATACAAAAACCATTAGTTTGATTCAACTATCATTTTTTTCATATATCTAAATATTTATTTACCCTAAATATTTCGCTAGAATTATTCAAAGAAATATTTATTCAAATTTAATAAATTTTTTTCTCAGTGTATGTATATACTTAATTTTTTATTAAGAAACGTAAAGATATCATATCGCGTCATTAAATATATCTTACATACAACAAATTTTATTAAAAATTATTTATATCCAGATACAAATAAGTCTAAATCGGACTAATTTCTTTACTTTATACTTATTAATTCCTGGTACTTTAATCATTCCTTTTTATATTCTCAGATAATTGACGGTTGTCTAGAAGCAGTATCTAATCTAATCTAATTTATTAAAGGCACATTTACTGATTTTACTGGTATCGGTGTTTCGTTTATCAGACAAGCAGACGTAAGTCAATTCGCTGAATACTTGTCGAATATTTTGTCACTCGTCGAATAACTTAAAAGCGTTTGACATCATGGAGGACAACCGGAGTAACGCAACAATTTGTTGTTCGAAATCCAACGGGAATAAATTTCTATCAGTCCGTCAGATTATTTTCGGATGGAATAGATTCAATTCCATATCCTGGTTGTTGCTATTTGTGTTATTTTGCATTTGGTGCATAACATACTTTTCTGCTTATAAACTAGAACCGGAAGAAGATGATAATCATGATAATCATCATCACCACTGAAGCGAAGAATGGAGCATAGAAAAACAAAATAATTATTATTGAAAAATGGAAAAATGTAAGTATTTAAATTACGTTGTTATTATTTAATAAAAAACGTATTTGAAATAATTATAATGATATAAACATATCATATAATTGATTTTTCCGAACTTTAATTTAAGTTCTAAAGTCACTCGTGCACTTGTTATTTTTAATTAATTTTTGTTGTAATTTTACACAATAAAAATAAATAATCAATGAACATGTCTTTCCAATACAATATACCTTATTTATAGGAAGATGACTACTTAATTAATTAATTTTGTCTCTTAATCTGTTTAGAACTCAACAGAAGTATCAAGGAGGAATTATTGGATATTTACAAATTTAATAAGATTTAATAAATATTTAAAGTCAACAATTTATTAATAATTATGTCTTAAATAATAAACATAAATAACAGAAACATTTTTTAATATAATTCTTGTAAAAGCTCTTTATAATAAAATGTGTGGAATTGTAAGTACTCTATATATATTTACAGTTATAGAAAAGCTAAAAATAAAGCTTTTATTGTCTCTTAATACGTTTATATATATTTTCCTAATATATTGTATTCTTTAACATAAAACATATTCTTAAAAGTTTCGAAATATATTAATGTGGCACAGAGTAATAACTTGTAAAATAATTTTTACATGTAAAATTAAGAAAATAGCCTTATTCATTCTTAAGAAAAGAGCGGTAATGTGTTAATCCACCTAATGAGATTCCATCTAATTCTTTTAGACATCAAAAACATTCACTGTAACAATAAAGAATGCCTTATCAAAATTACATTATTGACAGAAGGAATTGCAAATAACATAACAAATAAATATGACCTATGCAATGCATTATAAATGATAGTCGTTCCAACAAAAATAAAATGTGATATCACACAAAAGACATTAATGTTAGCAGAAAATTTTAAAGAAAGTTTCAAAAAGAATCGAAATACTCTTTAATTAGATTGTCTTTTTCAATTATATTACATTAAATTTTTTAAATGTCAACAGGAAGAAATAATATTTGAAAAAAGTACTAGTTGAAAAATGAACAAATACTAATTAGACCTAGCAATTTTTTATCTTTTTTAAATCATTATTTGAAAAGAGCCTGCACTTCTCGTGTTCGTGTTTAGAGTATTCTTTTTATGTTCTGTGAAAATACGAGAATTACATTTGGGAATTGCAAGTCCCAAGAGAAATGCCCAACCCATTTGAACCGCACGATCACACCGAAAATAAATGACAATGTGTTTGATACAAGAAAAAATATGATGTCAAGATAAAACAATTTACGTGGACTCCGAATTTTTTCCAATATATAAGTAATATTTCAATCATATTTAATTTGAGTAAATAACAAGAAATAATAATGTTTTGATATAATTTTTTCTTGCGATATGGTACTTAAAATATATTAAATATAAAATTATTATATTATTTAAAGAGAGAGAAATATGCTAAAAAAATACATAAGAAAATTTTATTATTATCTCTCTCTCTCTCTCTCTCTCTCTCTCTCTCTCTCCAGAAGAATCCTATTTTTTAAATATACATATTAATTGTATTTTTATATTAATTATTAATATATATTTCATGTATATCATTAGCTTTTTAATATACTAAAAAATATTACATTTTAAGTTTCCTTCTCTACACATTCTAATTTAAAATATCTATAATGTATAAAGCGTGTCTAGCAATATAAATGCACGGAACATGCGTCACTGTGCAATTTATACAAAGCACCGTTGTGATTGAATGTCTCGAAGTAGACAGAATGATATAAGAACGACGTTTCTGAATATACATCATGCAAGGATCGCTGCTCGTTCTCCTTTATCAAACGACATCCGTTGCTTTACATAAATGAATCGATAACTGAAATAGCAAATCAAAAAAACATCTATGTCACTTCCGGCGATCAATCTCACGCTTTTATTATTTTCAAAATTACACTGGATGTTTAAAAGTACATCTTTTTATTTAGAGACGTACTTTTTTCTCTTTTCCAACATTCGCTTTTTCTTCAACCAGTAGCCTTGAGCTGCCTTTGTGCATTAAGCTTATTGAACCCAATAATCCATGCAGATTGCAGCTCAGCAACTTGAGTATTTTTCTTTTTTCATTACGATTTACGCCCCTGCCGTTTCCGTCTGTCTAGCCTTTTTCTACTTCCGTTTGTTTATAATACGTTCTTATTTTTCGAACGTGCAATATAATAGCGAACATAGATTGTTATTCAAGTATGATCTTTCAACAACACATATATGTATACATATATACATGTTAAACTGTCATGGATGATAGACGGCCGTTTACCAATAAAATTACCTCCGACTAAAGGGTATGAAGGATATATTTTGTCCGTCAAATTAACGTTTCAGTCGATATTCGTTTGCATTAATATCTAAACTTGCATTGATAGTACTGACACCTACCACTACTGGTCTACCGGTAGACTCTGCTTTTCTAAAAAAATCAGAGTAGAACGTATTTTTTATATGATTTGTATACATTCATACATTGTAAGTTTATTATAGGTTCTAGCAAGAATAAATAAAACATTTCATAGATTGTTTAGTAGTAATAATAGCAATTTTTTGACATACTCATAAAGTAATTAACCGTCGATTAAGGATAATGAAGGAATAAATTAGCGGTTTAATTTTATTTTCCATTTATTCATAATATTTAAATAGATATGCATAGAGATACTTATCTATCTAAATATTATGAATAAATGAAAGCACTGGTTAACACCAGTGCTGGATATTGATGGCACATATAAAACAATTTTGTCTTTAACTCAGAAAAATAAAATATTTGTTCAACTTGAAAATAAAAAAAAATATGAATAATGAAAGTTCACAATTTCCAATTTGCCCAATTTAAAAATAAAATATACTTTTATTTAACTTGTTAAATGTAATTTTAAATTGATTAATGCACTTAATACAACAATCTTGAAATATTTTCTGCAGATAAGATATTAAAGAAGAACTTACTGAATTAAATTTGTCGTATCTCTCTTTTAATACAGATAAGTTTATTCGATAAAGATTACATTATACTTTCTATTTATCTCTAAGTATATATGTTACATATTACGCAATACTGTTGCAAAAATGTAATATTTTAAGCACTCTTATAAGTATACCATATTAGATACAATGCTATTCTACAACAGAAACTTTGATATCTCAAAAAAATTATTAAAAGTTTGTTTTTTAAATCTTTTATTTTGATTTATCTGTGGTAAAAATATATCTATGGAGCATTTTAAATTTTTAAAAAGACACGTAATATGTATTTGCAAACAAAATATTCTTTATTTACGTCCTTGGCGTTGAGTCCTTTTCTTTTCTAAATACAGATTGGAAATATAGACTCTGGATAGATGATCATGGAGGAATCGTTGTCGAATATCCAGACGCCGCTGAATTACACTCGTGTGCGGCTAATCGATACTGGCGTCGCTAGCTGGTAAACCGTATATTCCTCCTTTACGCATCAACCCCTCGGACGGATCGCGCCCTTCGGTCCCGATTCGCCCTTTAGCTGGAGCTACCCTTGGTTAATACATGGTAGACATACCTATAAAATACTTGCACCCGGCTGCTTAAGTTAAATTTCGTTTAGCTCGTGATAAGTACACAGATGAGAATGCATTGTAGTAAAATATGGTGAATATGTGATTTTTTGTGTGGACGTTGTCTTGTTTGTTTTACAACAAAATTTGTCCTACAAAATAAGTATATACAATTTATATATAACTTAAATAATGTATATTAATTTTTTATACTTTTTTATTGCGAACACTTACATTATCCTAAAATTTTGTCTTAAAAATACAAATAAATAAAAAAGTATATTTATGTACACACACATTGCTAGAATAATACAGTATATATGTATGTATATATACGTGTATTTATGCGTGCCATTTATTTTCTAACCTCATATATTTCACAATAAATTATAGTTAAGAATTAAAAATTAAAAATTTGAAAGTACAAGATTTTTAACTTTACGTGTATTTTCTCTGTGCTTTTTGAAACCATAAAAATTTTAGAACCATGAAAATTTTACCTTTAAAATCATAAAAATTCAAATAGCACGATTATATATCAAATGGATGATGAATTGAATGGTAAAATATTGGAGAGGCAGAAGAGAGGAAAATTCGTTCTCCATCGGGGCGAATTTTCGCGGAACGATTCGTTACCCTCTACAAATTTCCAGACAGATCTGCCTGGATATCAGCAAATGGTAATTGCATTGGTTCCAAGAGACGTGTGTGTCTTTGAGTTTTGAGATGGAAAATTTCTGGCCCGAGTCCAAATTGGGTTCTCTACGTGTTGCATGTTGTAAAGTAAAATGATATGGGAAGTGCAGAAAGTACTTATTGTTAGTGGAATATCATATTCCGCATAAATGAAAAGACAGTCTGCATATACGCAGTATGTAACAAAAATAATTATGCATTTGAAACAACAGTCATTCTTTGTTTCAAATGCATAATTATTTTTGTCATAGTAATAAAGAAATTATTTATGGTTTTTATAATCATAAGAAATTTTTATGTTTAGTCATAATCTTTTTTGTTTGGTTCGTAATAAAATTAATTTTTATAAATGAGAATAAATACAGTTTATAAGTGTTACTGGCTATGATAGCATTAAATAAAATATGTTAAATAATTCTGTGTAACTCTATTGAAAACTTATATATTCGTATAATATAACTGAATCACTGAAACAGTAAGTTTGCGATTCCTTTGGTAGATGGCAATACGAACTTCTTTCTCGCACGTTTACATGAAATACAATTTATAAATATGCACCATGTACATACATACGTACATATACAGGGTGTAAAGTTTCGTAAAGACCCGAACAACGCTTAAGGGGAGATTTCTGAGATCATTTTGAGACAAAAATTCTAATACCAAAATGTTGAGGCTATAATAACTTTTGAATTATAATTAGTTAAAGATAGTGTGCAATTCGAAAACTATTATAGCTTCGATATTTTCGTATTAAGATTTTCATTTTAGAATGTTCAAAAGAAATAATAATAAAGGCTATAAAAGTAAAATGGTTTTTTACTTATAAACATTTAAAGTTAGCTTATAATTAAAAAAATTGTAGTCTCGACATTTTCGTATTAGGATTTTCGTCTCAAAATAATCTTAGGGATCTCCCCTTAAGCTTTGTTCGGGTTTTTACGGGCACCCTGTATACATACGTCGGTAAAACTTTGCAAATTTTTAATTGTATAACGATAATGAATGCGCATATTTATGTCAGCTTTCATGGAAATATATGACAGTCAGCTCTACGTGACTTTTTTATCGCATTGATATTTAAACACT